AAAGACATCCCCGTGTAAATCAATGTTTCTATGGTCGTAAGATAAAGTAAAAGATGAAAATTTAAGAAAAATGACGTTGAAGGGACATCCGGGATGAACCGAGGACATTTCGATCTGCAGTCGAATGCTCTACCACTGAGCTACATCCCCCGTGTATAATCAATGTTTCATGGTCGTAAGAGAATGTAATTAAATTTAAGAAAAATAACGATTGGAAGGGGACACTTTAAATTGAACCAAACATTTCGATCTGCAGTCGAATGCTCTACCACTGAGCTACATCCCCCGTGTAAAGATCAATGTTTCATGGTCGTTAATGCAAGAAGGATTTATGAAAAATGACGATTGGAAGGGGACACTTTGAACCGAAGACCTTTCGATCTGCAGTCGAATGCTCTACCACTGAGCTACATCCCCGTGTATAATCAATGTTTCATGGTCGTAAACGGCATGAATTAAAAAATGACAATGGAATAACGTAATTAGGATTAAACCAACATTTCATCTGCAAATTTTTACCAAAAATGAGCTACATCCCCGTGTATAAACAATGTTTCATGGTCGTAAGACGATAAAAATAAAAGATTTAATTTAAAAAACGACGTTGGGGGGACACTCGGGATTGAACCGAGGACATTTCGATCTGCAGTCGAATGCTCTACCACTGAGCTACATCCCCCGTGTCAATCAATGTTTCATGGTCGTAAGTTGAAACGGCGAATTAAATATAATCCGAATAACGGGATTAAATTAAACTTCGAATGAAACAAATAATCAATTTTCATGGTTACAAAAAAATAATAATAAAAGGATTTAAAAATGACGATAAGAACACTCAGTTGAAAACATTTCGATCTGCAGTCGAATTCTACCACTGAATACATCCCCCGTGTATTTTCAATGTTTCATGATCCGTAAGAGAATAATGCATGAAAGGATTTATCCCCAAAATGACGATTGGAAGGGGACACACGGGATTGAACCGAGGACATTTCGATCTGCAGTCGAATGCTCTAACTGAACCCGTAATTATTTAAATCAAAACAAATGATTTGTTGAACAACAATCTGCAGTCGAATGCTCTACCACTGAGTTTAATCAATGTTTGAATGGTCGTAAGAGAAGTAATTTATGAAAAATTTAAGAAAAACGACGTTGAAGGGGACACTCCGGGATTGAACCGAGGACATTTCGATCTGCAGTCGAATGCTCTACCACTGAGCTACATCCCCATGTCTATAATCAATTTTCATGGTCGAATTAAAATGCATCCGAATTTAACGTAATATTTGGAAGGGGACACTCGATTGAAACAAACATTTCAACATTTCGATCTGCAGTCGAATGAAAACTGAGCTAAATCCCCCGTGTATAATCAATGTTTCATGGTCGTAAAAGATGTAATGCATGAAATTTAAGAAAAACGACGACGTTGGAAGGGGACACTCACGGGATTGAACCGAGGACATTTCGATCTGCAGTCGAATGCTCTACCACTGAGCTACATCCCCATGTATAATCAATGTTTCATGGTTGTAAGAATGTAATTAAATGTCCGAAAAATGACGAACGTAAGGGGACACAATTGAACCGAAATTTTTCTGCAAACAAATGCTCAAAACGTTTAAATCCCCGTGTATAATAATGTTTCAAACGTAAAAATGATGAAATTTGGAATTATTGGAAGGGGACACTCGGGATTGAACCGAGGACATTTCGATCTGCAGTCGAATGCTCTACCACTGAGCTACATCCCCGTGTATAATCAATGTTTCATGGTTAGTAAGAAACAAATGCATGAAAAAAATTTTTATGAAAAAAAATAAAAGATTGGAAGGGGACACTCGGATTGAACCGAGGACATTTCGATCTGCAGTCGAATGCTCTACCACTGAGCTACATCCCCCGTGTATAAACAATGTTTCATGGACCGAATAACGAATTAAATTAAATGAAACAAATATTTAAACAAAAACATGAAGTTTACCTCAAGGGACACACGGGATTGAACCGAGGACATTTCGATCTGCAGTCGAATGCTCTCCATCTGAGCTAAGATCCCCCGTGTATAAAACAATGTTTCATGGTCGTAAGAGAAGTAATTAAATGTCCGAATAAAAATGACGGTTGGAAGGGGACAAATATTTGAACCGAGGACATTTCGATCTGCAGTCGAATGCTCTACCACTGAGCTACATCCCCGTGTATAAACAATGTTTCATGGTCGTAAGAGAAGTAATGCATGAGAGGATTTATGAAAAAAACGGGAAGGGACACTCGGGATTGAACCGAGGACATTTCGATCTGCAGTCGAATGCTCTACCACTGAGCTACATCCCCGTGTATAATTGTTTCATGGTCGTAAGAGAAGTAATGCATGAAAGGATTTATGAAAAATGACGGTTGAAGGGGACAACGTAAACCGAGGACATTTCGATCAAACAAATGCTCTACCACTGAGCTAAAATCCCCGTGTATAAAATGTTTCCTGGTCGTAAGAGATAATGTAATGTAAAGATTAAAAAAAATGACGTTGGAAGGGGACACTCGGGATTGAACCGAGGACATTTCGATCTGCAGTCGAATGCTCTACCACTGAGCTACATCCCCGTGTATAAACAATGTTTCATGGTCGTAAGAGAAATGTAATGCATGACGGAAAAATACGAAAAAATGATACGTTTGAAGGGGACACAAAATTGAACCGAGGACATTTCGATCTGCAGTCGAATGCTCTACCACTAGCACATCCCCGTGTATAAACAATGTTTCATCTGCCGTCGAAAGTAATGTATGAGCTAAATTTAAGAAAAATTTTTCAATTTACGGTTGGAACGGGACACTTATTTGAACCGAGGACATTTCGATCTGCAGTCGAATGCTCTACCACTGAGCTACATCCCCGTGTATAATCAATGTTTCATGGTCGTAAGAGAAGTAATGCATGAAAGGATTTATGAAAATGACGACGTTGGAAGGGGACACTCGGGATTGAACCGAGGACATTTCGATCTGCAGTCGAATGCTCTACCACTGAGCTACATCCCCGTGTATAAACAATGTTTCATGGTCGTAAGAGAAGTAATGCATGAAAGGATTTAATTAAATGACGGTTGGAACGGGACACTCGGGATTGAAACTGAGGACATTTCGATCTGCAGTCGAATGCTCTACCACTGAGCTACATCCCCGTGTTTAATCAATGTTTCATGGTCGTAAGAGAAAAAGATGCATGAAAGGATTTAAGAAAAATGACGTTGGAAGGGGACACTCCGGGATTGAACCGAGGACATTTCGATCTGCAGTCGAATGCTCTACCACTGAGCTACATCCCCGTGTATAATCAATGTTTCATGGTCGTAAGAAAAGTAATGCATGAAAGGATTTATACAAAAAAAAAGACGGTTGGAAGGGGACACATCCGGGATTGAACCGAGGACATTTCGATCTGCAGTCGAATGCTCTACCACTGAGCTACATCCCCGTGTTTCATGGTATAAGAAACAATGTTTTATGGACCGTAAGACACTCAATTGTAATTTATCTGCAATCGAATGCTCTAATTTTAAGAAAAATAATCACGTTTCAAACGATTGAAAGAGAACGAACTGATGCATGAAGGATTTAAAAAATGACGGTTGGACACACTCAACTTTGAACCGAGGACATTTCGATCTGCAGTCGAATGCTCTACCACTGAGCTACATCCCCCGTATAATCAATGTTTCATGGTCGTAAGAGAAGTAATGCATGAAAGGATTTAAGAAAAATGACGACACAGAAGGGGACACTCGGGATTGAACCGAGGACATTTCGATCTGCAGTCGAATGCTCTACCACTGAGCTACATCCCCCGTGTATAAACAATGTTTCATGGTCGTAAGAGAAGTAATGCAAACTGAGAGGATTTATGAAAAATGACGGTTGGAAGGGGACACTCGGGATTGAACCGAGGACATTTCGATCTGCAGTCGAATGCTCTACCACTGAGCTACATCCCCCGTGTATAATCAATGTTTCATGGTCGTAAGAGAAGTAATGCATGAGAGGATTTAGAAAAATGACGGTTGGAAGGGGACACTCGGGATTGAACCGAGGACATTTCGATCTGCAGTCGAATGCTCTACCACTGAGCTACATCCCCGTGTATAATCAATGTTTCATGGTCGTAAGAGATTTTGCATTTTATGAAAAAATGACGGTTGGAACCTACTAGTTGAACCGAAACATTTCGATCTGCAGTCGAATGCTCTACCACTGAGCTACATCCCCGTGTATAATCAATGTTTATGGTCGTAAGAGAAGTAATGTTAACAAAGGATTTATGAAAATGACGTTGGAAGGGGACACTCGGGATTGAACCGAGGACATTTCGATCTGCAGTCGAATGCTCTACCACTGAGCTACATCCCCGTGTATAATCAATGTTTCATGGTCGATAGAGAAGTAATGCATGAAAGGATTTATGAAAAATGACGGTTGGAAGGGGACACTCATTGAACCGAGGACATTTCGATCTGCAGTCGAATGCTCTACCACCACTGAGCTACATCCCCGTGTATAATCAATGTTTCATGGTCCGTAAGAAACTCTAACAATGCATGAAACTCATTGGATTTAAAAAAAATGACGGTTGGAAGGGGACACTCGGGATTGAACCGAGGACATTTCGATCTGCAGTCGAATGCTCTACCACTGAGCTACATCCCCGTGTAAATCAATGTTTCATGGTCGTAAGAGAAGTAATGCATGAAAGGATTTAAAGAAAAAATGACGGTTGGAAGGGGACACTCGGGATTGAACCGAGGACATTTCGATCTGCAGTCGAATGCTCTACCACTGAGCTACATCCCCGTGTATAATCAATGTTTCATGGTCGTAAGAGAAGTAATGCATGAAAGGATTTAAAAATGACGGTTGGAAATGTCCGAATAACCGAGGACATTTCGATCTGCAGTCGAATGCTCTAACTGAAAACATCCCCGTGTATAAACAATGTTTCATGGTCGTAAGAGACATGAAAGGATTTGAAAAAAATGACGAACAAGGGGACACTCTCGATCTGAACCGAGGACATTTCGATCTGCAGTCGAATGCTCTACCACTGAACCGGAGACGTGTATAATCAATGTTTCATGGTCGTAAGAGAAGTAATGCATGAATGGATTTAAGAAAAATGACGGTTGGAAGGGGACACTCGGGATTGAACCGAGGACATTTCGATCTGCAGTCGAATGCTCTACCACTGAGCTACATCCCCGTGTATAATCAATGTTTCATGGTCGTAAGAGAAGTAATGCATGAAAGGATTTATGAAAAATGACGGTTGGAAGGGGACACTCGGGATTGAACCGAGGACATTTCGATCTGCAGTCGAATGCTCTACCACTGAGCTAAATGATCCCCGTGTATAATCAATGTTTCATGGTCGTAAGAGAAGTAATGCATGAGAGGATTTATGAAAAAAGACGGTTGAAGGGGACACTCGGGATTGAACCGAGGACATTTCGATCTGCAGTCGAATGCTCTACCACTGAGCTACATCCCCGTGTATAAACAATGTTTCATGGTCGTAAGAGAAGTAATGCATGAGAAATTTATAAAAATGACGACTTGGAAGGGGACACTCGGGATTGAACCGAGGACATTTCGATCTGCAGTCGAATGCTCTACCACTGAGCTACATCCCCCGTGTATAATCAATGTTTCATGGTCGTAAGAGAAGTAATGTATGAAAGGATTTTGAAAAAATGACGGTTGGAAGGGGACACTCGGGATTGAACCGAGGACATTTCGATCTGCAGTCGAATGCTCTACCACTGAGCTACATCCCCCGTGTATAATCAATGTTTCATGGTCGTAAGAGAAGTAATGCATGAGAGGATTTAAAAAAAAAAAGACGGTTGGAAGGGGACACTCGGGATTGAACCGAGGACATTTCGATCTGCAGTCGAATGCTCTACCACTGAGCTACATACCCCCGTGTATAATCAATGTTTCATGGTCGTAAGAGAAGTAATGCATGAAAGGATTTATGAAAAATGACGATTGGAAGGGGACACTCGGGATTGAACCGAGGACATTTCGATCTGCAGTCGAATGCTCTACCACTGAGCTACATCCCCCGTGTATAATCAATGTTTCATGGTCGTAAGAGAAGTAATGCATGAGAGGATTTATGAAAAAACGACGGTTGGAAGGGGACACTCGGGATTGAACCGAGGACATTTCGATCTGCAGTCGAATGCTCTACCACTGAGCTACATCCCCGTGTATAAACAATGTTTCATGGTCGTAAGAGAAGTAATGCATGAAAGGATTTAAGAAAAATGAAAGACGGTTGGAAGGGGACACTCGGGATTGAACCGAGGACATTTCGATCTGCAGTCGAATGCTCTACCACTGAGCTACATCCCCGTGTATAATCAATGTTTCATGGTCGTAAGAGAAGTAATGCATGAAAGGATTTAAGAAAAATGACGGTTGGAAAATACACTCGGGATTGAACCGAGGACATTTCGATCTGCAGTCGAATGCTCTACCACTGAGCTACATCCCCGTGTATAATCAATGTTTCATGGTCGTAAGAGAAGTAATGCATGAGAGGATTTATCTGCAGAAAAATGACGGTTGGAATGGGGACACTCGGGATTGAACCGAGGACATTTCGATCTGCAGTCGAATGCTCTACCACTGAGCTACATCCCCGTGTATAATCAATGTTTCATGGTCGTAAGAGAAGTAATGCATGAGAGGATTTAAGAAAAATGACGGTTGGAAGGGGACACTCGGGATTGAACCGAGGACATTTCGATCTGCAGTCGAATGCTCTACCACTGAGCTACATCCCCGTGTATAATCAATGTTTCATGGTCGTAAGAGAAGTAATGCATGAAAGGATTTAAAAAAAAAATTTGACGGTTGGAAGGGGACACTCGGGATTGAACCGAGGACATTTCGATCTGCAGTCGAATGCTCTACCACTGAGCTACATCCCCGTGTATAATCAATGTTTCATGGTCGTAAGAGAAGTAATGCATGAAAGGATTTATGAAAAATGACGGTTGGAAAACACTCGGGATTGAACCGAGGACATTTCGATCTGCAGTCGAATGCTCTACCACTGAGCTACATCCCCGTGTATAATCAATGTTTCATGGCCGTAAGAGAAGTAATGCATGAGAGGATTTATGAAAATGACGGTTGGAAGGGGACACTCGGGATTGAACCGAGGACATTTCGATCTGCAGTCGAATGCTCTACCACTGAGCTACATCCCCGTGTATAATCAATGTTTCATGGTCGTAAGAGAAGTAATGCATGAGCGGATTTTAGAAAGAAAAATGACGGTTGGAAGGGGACACTCGGGATTGAACCGAGGACATTTCGATCTGCAGTCGAATGCTCTACCACTGAGCTACATCCCCCGTGTATAATCAATGTTTCATGGTCCGTAAGAGAAGTAATGCATGAAAGGATTTATGAAAAAAAACGATTGGAAGGGGACACTCGGGATTGAACCGAGGACATTTCGATCTGCAGTCGAATGCTCTACCACTGAGCTACATCCCCCGTGTATAATCAATGTTTCATGGTCGTAAGAGAAGTAATGCATGAGAGGATTTATGAAAAATGACGGTTGGAAGGGGACACTCGGGATTGAACCGAGGACATTTCGATCTGCAGTCGAATGCTCTACCACTGAGCTACATCCCCAGTGTGTAAACAATGTTTCATGGTCGTAAGAGAAGTAATTTATGAGAGGATTTAAAAAAAAGACGGTTGGAAGGGGACACTCGGGATTGAACCGAGGACATTTCGATCTGCAGTCGAATGCTCTACCACTGAGCTACATCCCCCGTGTATAAACAATGTTTCATGGCCGTAAGAGAAGTAATGTATGAGAGGATTTAAGAAAAATGACTGTTGGAAGGGGACACACGGGATTGAACCGAGGACATTTCGATCTGCAGTCGAATGCTCTACCACTGAGCTACATCCCCATTGTTTCATGTATAATCAATGTTTCATGGTCGTAAGAGAAGTAATTTATGAGAGGATTTAAACGATAAAAAAAAGACGGTTGGAAGGGGACACTCGGGATTGAACCGAGGACATTTCGATCTGCAGTCGAATGCTCTACCACTGAGCTACATCCCCGTGTATAAACAATGTTTCATGGTCGTAAGAAAGTAATGCATGAGAGGATTTAAAACACAAACAAAATGACGATTGAAGGGGACACTCGGGATTGAACCGAGGACATTTCGATCTGCAGTCGAATGCTCTACCACTGAGCTACATCCCCCGTGTATAAACAATGTTTCATGGCCGTAAGAGAAGTAATGCATGAGAAGGATTTAAGAAAAATGACGGTTGGAAGGGGACACTCGGGATTGAACCGAGGACATTTCGATCTGCAGTCGAATGCTCTACCACTGAGCTACATCCCCGTGTATAATCAATGTTTCATGGTCGTAAGAGAAGTAATGCATGAAAGGATTTATGAAAAATGACGGTTGGAAGGGGACACTCGGGATTGAACCGAGGACATTTCGATCTGCAGTCGAATGCTCTACCACTGAGCTACATCCCCGTGTATAATCAATGTTTCATGGTCGTAAGAGAAGTAATGCATGAAAGGATTTATGAAAAAAATGACGATTGGAAGGGGACACTCAGGGATTGAACCGAGCTAGGACATTTCGATCTGCAGTCGAATGCTCTACCACTGAGCTACATCCCCGTGTATAATCAATGTTTCATGGTCGTAAGAGAAGTAATGATGAGAGGATTTAAGAAAAATGACGGTTGGAAGGGGACACTCGGGATTGAACCGAGGACATTTCGATCTGCAGTCGAATGCTCTACCACTGAGCTACATCCCCGTGTATAATCAATGTTTCATGGTCGTAAGAACGTAATGCATTTAAGGATTTAAAAAATGACGATTTAAGAAAAATTGAACCGAGGACATTTCGATTGCAGTCGAATGAAACCACTGAGCTACATCCCCGTGTATAATCAATGTTTCATGGTCGAAGACATTTCGATCTGCATTTATGAAAAATGACTTGGAAGGGACCACTGATATTGAACCGCTACATTTCGATCTGCAGTCGAATGCTCTACCACTGAGTACATCCCCGTGTAAATCAATGTTTCATGGTCGTAAGAGAAGTAATGCATGAAAGGATTTAATGAAAAAGGGGACACGGTTGAAAGGGGACACTCTGGATTGAACCGAGGACATTTCGATCTGCAGTCGAATGCTCTACCACTGAGCTACATCCCCGTGTATAATCAATGTTTCATGGTCGTAAGAGAAGTAATGCATGAGAGGATTTATGAAAATGACGGTTGGAAGGGGACACTCGGGATTGAACCGAGGACATTTCGATCTGCAGTCGAATGCTCTACCACTGAGCTACATCCCCGTGTATAATCAATGTTTCATGGTCGTAAGAGAAGTAATGCATGAAAGGATTTATGAAAAATGACGTTGGAAGGGGACACTCGGGATTGAACCGAGGACATTTCGATCTGCAGTCGAATGCTCTACCACTGAGCTACATCCCCGTGTATAATAAACAATGTTTCATGGTCGTAAGAGAAGTAATGTTTGAAAGGATTTAAGAAAAATGACGGTTGGAAGGGGACACTCGGATTGAACTAAGACATTTCGATCTGAAATCAATGTTTCATGGTCGTAAGAGAAGAATGCATTTCGAAAATCTTTTCGAAACAAAGGACTTTCGATCTGCAGTCGAATGCTCACCACTGCTACATCCCCGTGTATAATCAAATGTTTCATGGTCGTAAGAGAAGTAATGCATGAGAGGATTTAAAAAAAATGACGGTTGGAAGGGGACACTCAGGATTGAACCGAGGACATTTCGATCTGCAGTCGAATGCTCTACCACTGAGCTACATCCCCGTGTATAATCAATGTTTCATGGTCGTAAGAGAAGTAATGCATGAGAGGATTTAAAAAAATGACGATTTGGAAGGGGACACTCGGGATTGAACCGAGGACATTTCGATCTGCAGTCGAATGCTCTACCACTGAGCTACATCCCCGTGTATAATCAATGTTTCATGGTAATGTAAAAGAGAAAACGACGTTTGGATGGGACACTCAATTGAACCAGGACATTTCGATCTGCAAATGCTCTACCACTGAGCTACATCCCCGTGTATTTAATGTTTCAAAAAATGACATTGGAAGGGGACACAGGGGACACTCCGGGATTGAACCGAGGACATTTCGATCTGCAGTCGAATGCTCTACCACTGAGCTACATCCCCGTGTACAAACAATGTTTCATGGCCGTAAGAGAAGTAATGTATGAGCGGATTTAAGAAAAATGACTGTTGGAAGGGGACACACGGGATTGAACCGAGGACATTTCGATCTGCAGTCGAATGCTCTACCACTGAGCTACATCCCCCATGTATAAACAATGTTTCATGGTCGTAAGAATGAAGTAATGGAATGAGAAACCGGATTTATGAAAAAAATGACGGTTGGAAGGGGACACTCGTAAAGATAATGCATGAAGGATTGAACCGAGGACATTTCGATCTGCAGTCGAATGCTCTACCACTGAGCTACATCCCCGTGTATAATCAATGTTTCATGGTCGTAAGAGAAGTAATGCATGAAAGGATTTAAGAAAAAATGACGGTTGGAAGGGGACACTCGGGATTGAACCGAGGACATTTCGATCTGCAGTCGAATGCTCTACCACTGAGCTACATCCCCGTGTATAATCAATGTTTCATGGTCGTAAGAGAAGTAATGCATGAAAGGATTTATGAAAAAAAGACGATTGGAAGGGGACACTCCAATTGAACCGAGGACATTTCGATCTGCAGTCGAATGCTCTACCACTGAGCTACATCCCCCATGTATAATCAATGTTTCATGGTCGTAAGAGAAGTAATGCATGAGAAGATTTAAATGACGTTGGAAGGGGACACTCGGGATTGAACCGAGGACATTTCGATCTGCAGTCGAATGCTCTACCACTGAGCTACATACCCCCGTGTATAATCAATGTTTCATGGTCGTAAGAGAAGTAATGCATGAAAGGATTTATGAAAACGACGGTTGGAAGGGGACACTCGGGATTGAACCGAGGACATTTCGATCTGCAGTCGAATGCTCTACCACTGAGCTACATCCCCGTGTATAAATCAATGTTTCATGGTCGTAAGAAAGAATA